GGGCATTTTCAACAATTTTTGGCTCATTCTGGAACTGTTGAAATTGATAGGTGACCAACTAATTGTGTTCAGCATGTCTGGAGGAATATCAACATATACGTCATTTCTTGTAGTTGTAAAAATTGCGCAAGATACACTCAAGTTTACTAAACTGAAATTCGGCTGATCACTGAGAGCCGACGTTAGGTTCAAAAATCCCGCTAAACCGCGTCTTTCAAATCAACGTCGAGCCATGGCCTACACCAGATACACCAACGCCCAGCGCAAGAGGTACATCGAGGGATTCGACCCAAGCACGACGTCATCCAGAGCATATGCCAAGGCTCAAAACATCGACTGGAAAACCTGGCGCAACTGGTTGAGCCAAAAGGACTCCATCATGAGCAAACCATGCAACGAAAAGAAATACACGCTGGACGGCCAAGGTCACCATGACACCCTTTCATTTAAATCGGAACTGCTACAGTTTATGGATACGGTCCGCGAAGAGGCTTCGTTACAAGTGGCTTCACGAAAAGCCGGTTGTGTCTGCAGCTGAAAAACGCATGGCTATGGTAAAGCGCACTATTGAAGCCTGGGAGGACATGCCATGTGAAACCATCACTCGCTCATTTCAAAATGCGTTGCCACGGACTCTTGTAGTGTAGCTTGTCACTTGAAAATAAGTTTCATCTTCGAAATATTTTTGGTTTTCAGAAATATTGTAGTATTGGTTGCTAGTCGTCGTGGTCGTAGCTGAGCATTAAATGATCTATTTTCTACCAATCATCGTGGATATGGCACTTAATTCAAAAACAGCTTGAATAAAACACTATCAATTCTCGTCGAGGGCATCTTATTCCCCATACAAATTTCAAGATATTTCTCTAGTACCACTGGGGACATTTTTCCGTCGCAAACAGTAATGTTGCTGATGCAATATGTCTCAGACGGTTCTGACTGTTTACAGTACTTACCCGTTCGACATGTTTAGTCTAGGATCTGTGACTTACAGTAAGGAAGCACCTTGACTGACGAAGCTATGCTCCAAGGAATCTAGTAGATACACAGCGGCTGTGCTGAACCAGTCTGCCTTCGTCACGACCAGCCCCAGCGACAATCGCCGCCGGAAGCTCGTGAAGACGTGTTAATGCGGTGCGACGTCGACTTAAGCTGGCTTGGACAGTGTCACCGCAATGGTATCTGCGCCTCTCGACGCCCGCACGTGCATCTACTCAAGACGTCATAAGAGAAATGAGGCAATGCAGAGCCGCCTCGTATTGCATGGCCACAACAGTCAATGACAAGGCCGAGAGATGCCGCTGCGCTTTGGTCCAACATGTCGTCGTGTATGCATCGTCCCAACCCTTGGCATTCGCGCTAAACGCTTGCTCGTATTCCAGGTTTGTTGAACAGTGCTCTGAAACTGCGCCACAGCTGCGTGAAGAACGACGGCTCTCAGAAGAAAGTGGTCGCAAGCCACTACAGACCCTGACTGAAGCCGCGAGAAGAAATACGTCGTGGTACGGTGTGGGTGTTCCCTGGCACCTGTTGCTCACAACACAAAAGTGATGCAGCTCGGAGAGAAAAGAACAAGGGTTTCGTCATCCCCCTACGTCGTCATGAGCGATGGATGGCAAAATCGGCAACAGACGTGAGTACAAGCGAACAATGCCCGGGGTTGCATCTGAGTGAACGACCCCGCGCGGGATTTCCCGCCAAGCGTCTCCTCGAAGGCTGCTCATTCCAGACTGCTCATTCCAGAATTCCCCTGTCCCCACGTTGAAGGCGCGTTTCAACAACTGAACGGGGGAGGCCATTTGTATCGCTGTTAGAGGCGCTGAAAGATGCAGAGTCCTTGCCCCCGCTCGTCGCTGCGTGTGCACATGCGGAAGCGGGGGAATTCAGATTGGAGGTTCAGTTGCAAGGGTCTAGCTATGTTGGTACGTGGCGCCTCGTTGTAACGACGAGTCCATACTTGTGTGTCGGTCATGTGCAGTGACTGAACCCCTGCCACCCCCTCATGGTCCCCTACGTTTAAGATTTGTATACCCTGCCCAAAATAAGGCAAAGTCTTGTCGGACAACCCTGCATCATTGAGGTGAATTGTATCTTGGCAACGTTCGTATCCCTGTTTACACCTGTGTTTGCAAGCAATGCATCAGCTTCACGACGTCCACCCAAGCTTTTGTCGAACAGTCGCGACTCCGAGCTTGCCTTCTCCGCGGTCCGCCAAGAGTGAAAGGGGCAGAGGCCGACACAGCCATTCCCCCGATGCCTGCAACTCATGGGGCATTGAGAAATCGTTTTCAAAATGCAGGCGGACTGGTCAACAGACCGATTGGAGGCGTGTGATCTGGTGCTGGCAGAACTTTACGCTGTGTACCCGTCACGGCGGGCGACAGGGACGGTGAACAGTCCACTATGCCGATCTGGGGCGCAGAAAGTGCGAAGGAAGCGAGTGTTCCCGACAAGGGGCAACTTCACGAAAAATCCTTGGGCTTGCAGAAGAGGGTGAGGGGTGGGTACATCCGGTCTGCGACGCAGTTGTACGTGTCGCACGGCATGCACACAGCCGGGGAGGGGCACATGTCGTCACGGTGCTCGATATTCACCTCGAAGTGCAATCTGGCTATTCGTGATGCACGGCAAACACGCGAAGCCTCTACGGCATCGTGTCCCCCACCGAGATATAAAAGGTCGCCAAGCCAAAGTGCCGCCGTGGCGCACACTGTCGCGACGGGTTTGACTCGAGCGTCTTATAAGCAGGCGTGCCCGCGTCCTCGAGGCCCGCCCCGAATCAACGGTAGAGACCTGCCAGACTTGAAGAGTTGGCATGGCTTCCACGAGCCACATCTTCTTTCCTGTGAAATATATCCGTCCCATGTCACACCGTCGCACCAAACAATTCATGAAAACCTGCATGCGTAATGGCCCGACCGAGACGCCCCACGAATTCCGGCAGGTGCATGTTCTGCCGTCGGCGGGCCTGTGTGGGGCTCGGTTCGTTCGTCCGCTTGCTCTCTCCATTCGACAAGGGTGTACCGATGGCAGTGAAGGCGGCGGGGCAAGTCCATTATAAGTTAATTGGTTTCTACTGTACGGGTTGGGATGCGCTAGACCCTGTGTTGCCGCCGCGTGGCGTCGTCACAAAGCGACACCCCACTCGCCGAACGCTTCCAACAGAAACAGTGCGCACTCGTCGTACTGCACACTGTTCCGACCAAACGCGATCGGTTCGACTGTCCCCCATTCATGTGTCGGGGCATGGTGGTCCCAATCGACTTTGCCGACGCCATCGCACGTGTCGGAGCAAGCGCTGCTGACACTGCCGCCGTCGACGCGGCGCTCGCGCCGTGCGAGCTTTTCCCGGTACTTTTGTGCGTGAGTTCGCAGCTGCCGCACGGACCGCGTCTTGACGATGACTGCGACCTTCTTCCATGGCCCTTTCGGGTACATTGCGATGCCGGCGAGGAACCGCTCGTGCTCGTCTGGTGTCCAGGTGCCTGTGCCTTCCGTGACGTGCGCTGTGTCGTGGTTGGGGCTCTCTACTGCCTCGACGGGCGAGTACAGTGCCGTGGCTTGGGGAATCTGGGGCTGGTGCATGCTGGATGGATCCACCCTCAAGATGTGCTAAGGTCGCGAAGATTTGAAAAATGACAATTGTACCACGCCACCGCTTGGCCAACTCCACCCTCGCCACATCGTGATATCCAGTCCATAGACATTCCGTATCAGAATTTTGGTGGCTGTGCTAGGCAGCCATACGATATCGTGTTACAGTGCATCATGTTGTGCGACATTGGTCTGTATGGCGCGCGCCTTCGCATTCGCGGCGAGCACATGGTCGCTTCGGTGGTTGTGGTCACTCGGCTGGATGGCCCAGAGTCGCTGTCTACGTGATTGTGTCATCGCCGCGATCGCTACCACAATGCCGTGCCCTCCACCCCGTCGATGGAGCTTCTTCATGGACCCACGGGCCACGCGAACTACCGTCGCTCAGCCTGTAGCCGGGTGTGCAACACCGGCAGCCCGCACAAGTTTGATCTGGCCACTCTTGTCACGCATTAGCTCGAGGATCGCTATGCGGTGGCTAGGGGTACAATTGGTCAGTGTGGAATTTCGACTCCCCCTCGTCTTACAACCGAATATGTTCATACGAAAGCGATAGTTTCCGCGCGCGTTTGACACCCGCGCCGCCATTCCCTGCGGCGTGCACGCCACCCGAAAGCGTATGTGCATCGATCGAGCGCGAGACTGGGAGGTTCCCGGCCATCACACAGGTTGCAACAAAATCTGGATGGATTTGCGAATTGTAGCTGGTGTTGCGACGAGAATGAATACCGCCGCCGCAGGGCCCTCGAGAGACTGCATACGACGGGCCGCAAGATGAGGCGAATGGAACCCGTTCAAGAACGGACATCCAACCTCCATCGACGGCCTGGCATGTCCGCGAAGTGTTGTCGCGTGCATAACTTTGTTCGATGCCATTTCCGGTCGCCCCGCGACGGACCTGTCGCAAGGAATGGGTACCAACCGCCATCGTTGCGACTGCGCGATGATAGGGGCGGTATCAACCATGTTTCATTGCGGCTTGCCTGCAGACATGAAGCATCACGTGTGAGGTGTTGCGCTTCAACCCAGATATCGCAGCAGCGACGGCGTGGTCGTGTATCCCTAGACGTCGTGGCGCCGAGTCGAGATCGCCCCAATCGACGTCGCCGCACGCGGGCCGCCTCGTGCGCCGTGAAGTGACCCACCCCCATCACGTGGACAGATTCGTGTGGCGGTCATGAAGTTGTCGTTGAAATGCGGGTTGTTTGGTCAGTGAAGTTGGCGGAACCAGATGGGCTGGCTGTCGTTGCACTCGAGAGTGGCTGATGATTTATCACCACGCAAACAGACGTGAAAGAATTGTTTTCTGTGAACGGGCGTTGCTCGACTCGACGCGCCTGTTCGACTGGGTGTGGCTTATCCTGGCGAGGGTCAGTGCGGGTCGCTGGTGGATTCCACGCAATGCAAAACAAGTTTCCCCGACACTGAAATACCCCCCCCCTCGTCGATGTGGACTTGGACGTCGCTGTGACGTATGGTGAGTTTGCACAACACACTGGATGGGCAAGCGCGAACGCTGGTCGGGCCCGCGGCGGCACGTACGTGTCTCACGCTCTAGCGTGAATCGGAATATACAATAGTCCTAGCCCTTCGTTCTCCTTCCCCGCAACCTCAGCACGCGCGATGGTTGAAGGGCGGTTTGCGAAAATCCGGCAAGTTTCATGGCGCCGACTTGCATCACAACATTCCCCCAACTATGTGGATGCTGCCCGTGGTGGCCCCATTCAATTGGTACGCTGATTTTTCAATCGTCTGTAAGCTGCATAGAGTGCAACCAAGTTGCCTCGGTTTAACCCGTCCCCAATACGCCCCGTCACTCGACAATTGTGTTGACTTGTGAACGAGCGATTTCAAGGGGGAAACTCAGGAAGTGACTTGGTGTCGCTGTTTGTTGGACATTGGGGGGTGATGTGTAAAGTTCCACCGAAGCCGAACGGGTTTATCGTCGATTGAGGCCTCGGGGAGAAGTCTGCGCTGTCAATTGTCTCGTCAATGTTTCCCAACCATCGATTCTATCGTATATCAACACAATTGAAATTCTAAAGCACACATAAGAAAATGCAAGATCGTCCAACACCGATTATATTATTCAACTTCCTTTGATTGGCTTGAATAATTTCTTCGAAATCTGTTAAAATGACGGGAGGGTCGAATTTCAGGTAAATTCGATCACATTTTCAGCCAATCAAAACGAAGGTGGTTGATGCAATTGACGTTGAACAGTTTTGCGATTTTGCAGTGATGCGGACGTTCGCCGAACGGAACAGGGTTATACTTCGATGGTGGTGGAGGTAGAGTTAGCATCGCACTCGGGCGCTACCGTGGGCTCAGCTGGTGGGTAAACGCATTCTACAACCATTCGCCGGTAACTGCGCAGCCTCCCTGTCCTTGCAAATAAGCTAACAACAACATGACTGTATCATGGTTCATCAACGACGCACGGAACCGTGAGATTTGCCGCACACGGAAAACATAGAGTGCCTTTCTGTACCGAAGTTCCACCAACACAAGTTACCTGTTTACGGTAAGGTCCTGCGACACCCCCCTCAGTCGAGAGAGTTGACGTGAACGAATGAATATCGGGATTCAAACTGGACGGGTGTGGCAGTGGGGGCGAGAGGGAAAGTATGCGCCACCGCGGACTGGCAGAGAGGACAGCCAGCGCGCCCCTCTCCTGGTTCAGCGGCGCTATCCTCGCAACGTCGACATATGGTGCATATCGCCTGAACACACTTCATTTTGGTGATCCTCGACGATTTATTGGTAAGCCGCGTGCCAATTTGAATTATTCCTGTATATTTATTTGGCTCGGTTCAGGTGAACTGTAAAACGCAAACTATCCAAAGTCATCCGGATACATTCCAAACTTGTACGGATCTTTACAGTTCACCAAAAATCAAGATAATCCTGTTGCTTTTTCAACGGAAAACGTGGATTCCGAGCATTATTTTGGGATGATTTGCACCATATGGGTGTCGTTGCGTCGGTAGGGGGGCAGATGTTCCCGACACAGGGAGATAGATCAATGTATCCATGGCAAGGTTCGCAACAAAGCTGGCCCTCGCAAGATCTTGTCGCATACACCCTGACTGGCTCTCAACCGTGACATCTCACCAAGTAACTCCACAACGAAACCAAGGGCAAGTGGAAGAAAGTTGAGAAGTTTGCACGGCACCTCGCCTCGCTTGACTCAAAGCATGCCATTGTCTCGGGCTCCGTGGCCACCCGTTCACTCGACGAGGGCGTTGGCTTGCCAGTCCGCCCGGCTCCTAAAACCTTGTCCCAGCCAGGCCGAGGAACCTCCACCGCAAGTGTAGGGACAGGAATCGCTGAGCTGTTCGTGGGGGGGGGATAATTGCTGCCTCTCCCTGTACTCACTGTAGGTTGTGCTCGAAACGAACGGCGACGACGGCGCAACCGATATTGCACACTGGGCATTTCCCGGGATCGTCCAAATGAGGCCGAAATTTCTCAGCACCATCCGATAAAAAAAAAGCATTTTGGCGAATGCATTCGATTGGCTCTCGTATGGAGAGATTGCTGTTGGAGAACCGAATTCGTCGGATCCTTGGGCCAATCAAAGTGCGTTGTCGATATTTTTATTCTCGCTGGACGATGTTGCGAAATTATGGCCTCGAAGAGACGATCCTGGGAAATGCCGTGGCACACTTACGTGAACTCTTCGGTCTTTCAGCCATGTGGTCGATACCATGACTTTGGACCTCAGTCGGGCTAGGGCGGACGTGGATCTGATTTATGCTCGTCACGATGGCTTCCTCTGTTGCTGCAGTATTGTCGCATGGCGTGGCAGCCGCCCCGATGAAGCTTCATTTCCCAAAACTTGGGTTGTCCCACATTCGCATTCCAGCAGTTCCGCCACCTCCATGCTCATGGCGAGTTCCCCTGCGTTCCCATCCGCGATGGTGTGCGACCCTTGTGGCCGCGTCGGCACCAAGCGCCCCCGCGCGGCGAAAGCCGCAATCTCCGACGACAACGAGCAAGAAGGCACGGGGATGTGGACCACCGCCGAGCACATTCGGTTCCTGGAAGGGGTGGCCAAGTTCCCCAAAGGCCCGTGGAAGTACGTCGCCGAGATTGTTCAAACCCGCACGGTGCGGCAAATCCGAACCCACGCACAAAAGTACCGCGAAAAGCAGGCGCGCCACCGGCGTGGGCTGCGGTTTAAACCGTCCACCACCAGCACGTCCAGCGACGACAGCGACGATGCGCGCAGCTCTGTGGACCCGGTCGCTGTCGAAGACGTCGCTGTCGTGGCGAACACGTACGATTGGAATTTGGACCCGCTGCCGTTCTCGAGCAGCCCCATCCAACTTGACGAGTGCATGTCGTTCCTTCTGGAAGCCTTCCCCGAGACCGCGTTCTAGAACGTAGTGCCATGGATGTGTATTTACCATAATTTACAGCGTTGCTTTCCTGTCTTCTGGAGCGGCGAAGCTTGCCAGCGTTTTGGATGGATCTGGTATAGAGTCCAACGCTGGTATTGCATGTTGCAGTCGCTGAGCCGGCACAACCCCCTCTCCTGGCTACTTGCATACTTGAGGCGACCAAGAGTTCGGTTGTGCTGTGGCGAGCGAGACTAAAAAGGGAAGGCGCTTTTGTAACCCACCCCCGTGGCCATGGGTCGAGCTATGTGGGGGGGCGAAAGACAGCGCCGCCAAGCGTGTAGTCACATCGGAATGGACTTAGAACCGGTTGAAGCGGGCCAGGACGTGGTCGAGAGAGTCAAGAAGCGTGCCTGGAGCTGTCAATGTCGCATCGCGGCTT